GCAATTTTTTGTTAAGTGTCGCACGTTTTCTGTGATTTCGTCGTTCTTATTTCACTACTGTGATTGGTCAAGAAAACGCGCGCCTTCTCTCTCAACCAATCGAGTGTCCAAGTTGCTTTTGTTTTGCTTTACTTCGCTCTGTGATTGGTCCAGAAAACTGGCGCCACCATCTCATCCAATGAAATGGAAAACTAAAATTAATCCCAACATGGTCACTTGCGTTTTCCCGCGCTTTAAGCAGGTTGCCTGTTTTTACTTTGAGTTTATCATTGGGTAATCATGATGTTAGTAGTCGTTGGGACTATACTGGTTTTTATTTTTCGACACTCAATTAAAACTGTTTTAAAAACAATAGTGACTTGATTGCTCACGTATTTCTGTCCTTCGGGCAGTTTGCTAGTTTTATCATGAATTTTGGCTGGTTTCTGTTTTAAATTTTTTTTTACTTTGGTTTTCGTTTTGCGACATTCAGTTGAAAATTACTTTTTTTAGCCGCTGTACTGATTGCGAGTTTTCCGTTTACAGAGGTGAAGAAACAAGCGGAGATGGCGAACGATCTTCAGACAAAACACGGCCGACGTTTGGTACATTCATACTTTGTGCAATGGACGGAAAAAACGCGGCAGATGCAACAAGCAAAGGATTTGAACAACCGCACAGTATTAAAGAGGTTTGTGTCGACTGAAACTTACGTTGTTCTGTTACTTCACTCACGCACCTAAATTAGAACTTGGTTCATAAACAAAACAGACAATTTTCAGTCCGAGGCGATAGAATAACGAACGAACTTCAAGTGTTAGCGATGCGTAAGGTATCATGTTGTACAACACGCTTCAACTGTTGAACAACGCTTTAATTAAACAGATTGTGTGTTTGATTTGCAGATCACTGGCAGAATGGCACCAATTTTCAAGAAAGAAAATAGATGAACGGAAGAAAATTAATTCTTTTCGAGACCAGACAATGAATAAAAAGGTGTGTTACGACGATTTCCAAGCGCCTCTTTCTTTCTGAAAAAAATACAACTTTGCGTTGACGCCGCAAGAGTTCTCAAAAACATCCTGAAACTGATTATGGGTAGTAAACAATTTCCTAGCCAATAATAGTTATTTCAGTTTCAACCGAGATGTTGCCTAATTTTGTCCTGTTGTTATTAATTTGGAAACGTTCTTGGGATAACTCCGTCTTTGTTTTATTGTCAGAGGCGAAGAAATTTGAAAACGAAACTTCATTCCTACAAGTAGACCAACCGTTGACACTCATCCGCATAAATTGTTTACAAGCTTAGTTTTGGAAAACGCTCTACTTCATTCATTAATTTGGAAACGTTGACTCCGTCTTTTATTGTGAATGGGAAGCTTTTCGAAAACGCCAGAAACTTTTTTTCTCCGCTTCCAGCATGAAAACGCTATTTCCAAGTTCCTCTAAAGAAGGGAAGGCCTTTTGCATCACAATTATATTATTTTTCTCTATTATTAAACTTTTTCCAGGTTTCTCGCATGTTCTATGATTGGCACGAGGCGCTTAAAGTCGCTCGCAAGCACAAGGAGCTGATAAACGGACAGATAATTCACCACAACAGACGAGTGAAACAGGGCTGTATGCGGGAATGGAAAAAATTTACACTGAAGAGCCGCGCAGAGAAACATTGTAACAAGACAGTCACTTCTAAGGTATGGATTTGTTACAGTCTATAGAGCAACTTTCAGCTGTCAATGTCGAATTGCAGTGGTTTTGCTTTACTTCGCCCTGTGATTGGTCCAGAAAACTCGTGACACCCTCTCAACCAATCAGATGCAAAAGTAAAAACAATCACGACTTGGTCACCCGCGTTTTCCCGCGCTTTAGGCAGTTTGCTTGTTTTCACTCTGAGTTCTCATTGGCTCCTTGTAACATTTTCCTTCGCTCTGATTGGCTGTTGTGATAACTTTGGTCTTCGACGTTCAGTCGAGATGCGTTGTTAATTTTGATGTCCCGTTATATTACCTTACCTGACCTACTGATAGATTCGTCTTTGTTTCCAATTGCACTGACCACAACTATTTTTCTGTATTTTATTTGGTACAGTTTTTTGCCGACTGGAAGGCAAAGACAGAACAGAAGCAGGCAGAAAAAGAAAAAGATGAGGTAATTCTATACTGAAACCCTACTTTTTCGGCAGCATTGTTTTTGCCTTCTGATTGTTCAATCTACCCGTCGGGTGACAGTGGTGAAAAAATTAATATTTTACTAATCTTGTTTTCTCAGTCGGTTTTTTAAGTTACGGATGTTCGTTTCCCCATTTATCAGTCACAACGTACATTTCGCACCCCGCACTTGGTTAGTTAAGTACGTTTAGAGTGAAAATATGAGGCGTTTACAACATCAGCCTTTCACGTGGTTTTCGATTAGAGTTACTTTAAACAGCGTCACATTTGGTTCCAAACCGGCTTCCAAATCATGTGAATTTATTTCGTTGCAGCAACAAGAGGAAATCGCTGACGAACATTACCAGAAAAGGTTGAGGTAATAACTACAATCAAACGAAAAAACAGGTCAGCTCTCCTTAGCGGGAGAGGTCCAAGGTCCATCTTTCTTGTCCAAGAGGGAGTCTGCGATAGTTGGGTTTATTCCATAAGGTCAGGTGTACAGACTTGAGCCCTGGCCGCGGCTATTGTTTAGTGTTCTTGGTCAATATTCACAAGTTTCTCTATACCTTAACATTCGCTGGACTTGTGTATTCTATTCAGAAAGGACACGCGTGTCTTTTTACCAAGATTGCAACCTAACGCTCTGAGTTACCTCCATCTCTACTGGGTGACGTAAACTGACGTACGCTTCCCGGGTGTTCCAAAAAGCCTTAGTTTGCGGTAATTGGTGGAAAATTTGCGTTTCCCTTCGTTTCGCATGTTGGATCATTTGTCTGTGAACAAAGGCTGATTCATTTCTCACACTGTCATTTGTTCCTTTCAGCAAAATGTGTTTCCGCGCCTGGTTTCATGACACAAAACTTGAGATACACAGCAGAAAGAAGGAAGAACGCATTGTAGCGAAGCACTTCATGATGTGGAAGAAGAGAATTGACTTGAACTCGATCGCCACTGAAATGGTGAGACTCAGTAACTGTATTGCACTAAGCGTCGCAGAGTTGAGGGGACGCATACTTGGATTGTACTAGTTGTCACTGAAGACCTTTAATCTTAGGAGACGCAAGAAGGAACAACTTGAGTTCCAATATTTTCGTTCGTCTCAGGAGAGTGCATACTATTCATGTCGTTTTTCAGTATCTGATCATTTTTATTTATTTATTTATTTTTAGGTTGATCGCCGTGTATTTGAAAAGTTTTGGACGAAATGGCGTCACCAGTTGATAAGGAAAAGAGTGTCGGAAATGATGATGAAGCATGAAGACAAGAAGCAGCTATCTGAGGTAAGAGGAGGCGTCATCTTCAATCTCTTAGGGCTAAGAGAAAATTATTGGTGTTGGTATTCGTATTGGTACTGGGGTTTCAAAAGAGGTGGGGAACTTGATTTGTAAATGGGCAAGAGAAAGAGAAAAAATTGTGCTTCCAGGGGGCTAAGGATAACCGGGCGACCGAGATGTCGAGAATTTAAAATACAGGGAAGTTCGAAATGCCCGTCGAGGGACCCAAGATACGGGGTGGGGGTAGGGGGGCGCAACAGATACTAGACTTATGAAGAGCTTTCCGGGGGTTCCAGATATCTTAGGAGCCGAGATATCCTGGCTAGAATAACAGCAATAGATTGTCAAGACTCGGTCCAAGTTCGAGATTCAGGAGCTTAAGAAAAATAGAAATTATTCCTTAACATAATAACATCTCATTTAAAGTACCTAAGAATGTCTACCATGTTCGTAATGTTTTTGCTTCAAGTAGAAAAGCAGGTCACTTATGTACTGTTTTTCACCTAATAGGTTTTCATGGCTTGGTACCAGCTCACGCTCGTGCGCCGTCGCTTGCTCAAAGGATGGCAAATGTACAAGACCAAGAAACTCTTTCGGCTCTGGATGCAAAAATACAACGAGTCGTAACCTGCGAGTGAAAAAAACTACCGTTTTGAGAAACGACTTCAAAAAACGCAAACTTTTCTTGGTCGTTATATGATCATAGGGATCGGTCATTATTTATCTTCGGAGGGGAAGGGCTGGAGGATTTTGGTTGTGTCAAAACAAAATTTACCTGAACCCCCCTTAGGCTCTGTGGTAGTTTAATGATCTCATCCCACAAGCATTAAACTCGCTATAGTCTTACCCTTTGACACTGTGCTGGCGCCGACTGATCCTCCCTCCGGTCCCCTGAAAACCATTCGATCTCTCCCCCACCCCCCTCCCATCCTCCAATCATCCCCCCCCACCCAGCCCTAAGACGAAAATAATGACTGGTTCCTAGATAGCATCACATTTTGCGTCTGAAAATACGACCACAAAATTTTTTACAACGATTTTTCCCACCTTAAGGAAACATCGACGACCATGTACATACTTTCGTTGTAAATTCGTCTGTTAAGTTTTATGAGCGAGAAAATATGAAGAATTACAGTGGACAAAAGAATTATCTCAGTTAAGCTAACAACATTTCGTTTGTGTAAAAACACATGAAGATTTATAGTGGGCGTATTCATTTCAAAATGAATTAATTATTCTCGAATAACAGCATCGTTTTATTTTGATATTTATTTTTTTCATCGTTTCCTATTTGTTGTACATTTTCTATTTTATGAGATGATTTTTCAGATGATACAAATAGATATTTAAATGAAAATTTCGTATTTATTTTTTTAACCCTCTTGTTAGTTAGTTAGTTATTGACTTAGCATTGCGGAAAATTGATACCTCTAGTCGTATTAATGTTTTTGGGGAAAGGGAAAATTTCTATGATAAACATAAAAAATGCCAAGGTGTGAATGATGAACCCAAATTTTTTTGAGTTTGTGAGAAATTTCTCTTAAATTAAATTGCATCTTCTCTTGCTTTTTTTTTATCCTTTGTTTCAAGAACCTGCAAAGCTACCTCGTATTTAGTGAAATTGCATTTTATTATGAAGATTGCATCGATCACTCAGTGTAAAGTATTGATTCTTTGTAGAATTGATTAATTATAGACTACGAGCTGAATAAATCTCTTTATTTACTCCTGTTGTTCACAGCTATCTACCGTTTGGAGCCATCAGTATTATTCTCATACAATCAGAATTAAAAATTAAACCAGTATGGAACCCTAAGAGGGAATGTAGTCTAAATTTGCGCCGTTTTCTCGGATCCTGTCTTCTTTCCTCCCGATTCTGGCTCATTTTCTGAGCAGAGGCTGGCAAAGGGCCCAGAGGAGTAACGTCGGTTTAAGAGGAGTAAAGGGCCCGTCAGAAATAGAAGCTCTAGACGAGGAACTTACGAGAAAGTGTGAGGTAAATTGTTATCATGTCATCAGGTGATCACAACGTGCATTGCATTCAATTTAGTGACCAGTTCACTTTATCGACATTGACATAACGGCTTGCTGTCTTCCAGTTTTTGAAACCGGACAAACTTATTGTAAATGATCGGCAGAAGAGGTGTTATGAATATAACACCTGAGATGGTGCACAGTCCACCCAGAATCTTCCCACCTGCAGAAAAAAGAAGAAAATGTAATTCTGTCAAGTACAGAACGGGCACCTTTTCCTGACACTCATTTTTTTTTTTTAAAATCAATGTTAGTATCTGAGCAAATGCAAACCTACCCCTTCCCCCAACCCAGCAACCGATAACAAGTTAGGATTAATATTGAGTTAGGGGAGGAGCAGTTTCGCAGTTGCTTAGATACTGCAGAGTATACGGCACAAAACACATGTTTCTTACATCGTGTGAGACATACACGGCCGTCTGCACGAATTTGTTTCTAGAAAGATCATGAAATCGTGATAAGAAAGTCATTTACGCTTTAAGAGTTAAATGAATGATAAGCGGCTAACAGTTTGCCATCTATATTTCACTATCCATTGCGTCAGCCAATCAATTGTAAGCTAGTGATGTCATAGCTTGCAATCGTGCGCTTGTCGCACGAGTCACACGTGCAGTGGACGGCTTTTTGATTTGTTCAAAGGCTTGGAGCCGTCATGAGATTCTATGGGTTCTTATCTCGACGTCAAAAAGATTATGTTCCACAACTTTGGAAAAATTAAAATTGTGTAGTACCTTGATAAAGAGACAATGAATTTTACACTTACCAAGAGTGTTTGGAACCATATCACCATACCCAACAGTAGTAATTGTCACAACAGCCCACCAGAACGAGTGAGGAATACTTCGAAATTCCGTTTCTTGGTCCCAAGTTTCGCAGTAATATACAAGAATCCCAAATAAAATGGTTCCTGTGAGAGTTAAAGAAACCATCGTCCACAGATCTGATAGACATGCGGTAACAGTTTTTTTAAGCACTATCATCGTTGAAGCGTAGCGAGAGACTTTAAGCACTTGAAATATTTTTGAAAGATGAAAGATCTTGATCAGATAAACAGGGGGTGCTTTTGACTTTTCGGACACGACCAAATAAATGTAGAATGGTAAAATAGCGGCTATGTCCACGATGTTTAGAAATTTGAGCAGGAATCTTCGCTTTTCTGGCGAAACAAGAAAACGAATAATTAATTCCAGTGTGAACCAGGCGATGCAAAATTCCTCAGCTCTTGAGGTGAAATATTTCACTGTGAAGGAATTGCTATCGTGGGTCACTATTGCATTGTTTTGGTTTGTACTGATGTTAAGGTGCACTCCACTATCTATGACTTCCTCAACAAGATTCGAGTTTCGTACGCTTGGAAGACTTTCAATGCACAAAATAGCAATGGCGAGCAAAATTACCATCAGCGAAAACAACGTTGTGATTCGTGCGACGAAGCTTGAATCTGGAGACTCGCAAATTTCCCAAAACTTTTTTTGACAAACTGATTTTGGGGCTATCACTTTCTTTGGAAAAAATGCACTTGGAGTTGGCAAACTGTGTCGCCTTTCTTCCGAGCTCAAATACTCGTACAGGCCAAAGAAATGAAAATCGTCTGCCAAAAGCTGTAGCGAGAACGTTTTACTCGGAAAAACTAGTATTCCATTTGTTACGTAAAAGTAAAAGATGCTTTCAAATGTCGTTCGATTTCTGTCAAAAAAGAATTCGTGGTTCTCTTCATCGTGAAAAGGTGCTCTTTTTTCTGGATCTGCTAGCAAACTTGTAGGAAATCTTAGCAGTTGTTGAACAGTGATTACGTATGGTTTTCCACAGACATTGACTCGTATCTTTTTTTCCCTGCGGGATAGAGTCTCGCAAGAAATACCGTCAGGATCTTCCGAGGGATTAAGTTGTCGCTCTGGGTCGGCCCTCTGTGCGCGACGCACGAACGTTTTCGCCAATCCTCTACGGTATATCTTCGGTGATGTCGGGTAAGTTTCCAAATTTGATGGTTTTCCATAGTAAGGTAGCATCTTGGGTTAACATCCAATCGCCAGACGTCACTAGCGTTTTTCTTTTCTTCTTTTCTGCACACCAATTGTTATTTCGGTTCAAGATCAATGCAAGTGACAGCATGCGATCTTACGCCAAACCACATTCTTTACTAAGTTTGTTTACATCTCGAACCCTTAACCTTGTCAGCGGATGACTATAATACAATCTATCATCGAGGTCAATCTGTTCCATTTTTCAGCCGATTAATCTCATTAAAAATAATTAAAAATGTCTTAGGTTCTTCTCTTCGTGTAGCCAGAATTTGAAATTGCACATTCATCTGCTCAAAAATCCGCGTAGTATCGAAAAATAATCAACAGAGGCGGTTCTCCGATTTCTAAAGTGATTGCCCTAAGTCTGTGTGTTATCGGTGCGAATCATTATTGTCTTTTGTGATACCATACCGATTATCACAAGTGGCCTGTCGTAAAAACGAATGAAACCAGTCGAGTGTTTTGATGTGTACTATAATCAGCAATAATGAAATATGTTTGCGGTTTAGAAACCAGCTCAGTTTTAGCTGATCTCTTCCTATTTCCGATTTTTGGCCCGTTTGAAGAGGTATTTAAAATGCAATGTATTGTAACCTTATGTATGTGGCTTTATACCGCTGATGTTCCTTTATTTTGAAATATTTCGTGTATCACTTACATTATTTCCAGAAGATTCGCAAAATTTTAGCTATTTTTTCTTTTTTTTTTTTTAAATGCCATTTACCTTTTGCCGATGACATTTCCGCCCTCGGAAACAACAACAAAGTAACCGATTAACAGTACTCGATGACTATTTTCCCTCTCTGTACAGCTCTTTCACTTTAAGTAATTTTTGCACATATAAACTGTGAAGTTGAGTGGCCGTTAACTCAGTATTTAATTTGTACACAACACTTCTTCTTACGTATAAATACAGGAATTTCAATAACTTGTACCATAAGCGGCTGCCAATGGCGCACGAGAGATGGAAACACGGCCCGGCTGCTCGCAGACTAAAAAGACAGCGGCGAGTGGTCTCATAGGTGACGGTAGACCGCTGTAACCGGCTTTTCAAGTAACAATTGAAAAAGAAACGGTAGACTACAGTTTAAACCCGCGTAGAACAACTTAGTGGATTAAAAACATCCTGGCAGAAATGCCTCCTTCATACCCTGAAATACAAGAACCTACATTTAGTCAAGCAAGATCAAGCAGGTTCTTATATTTTGAGTTACAGTTATATCATGAAAAACATTTTAACCGAGGAGTGTAACTTTCAGATTGCAAATTTGAGTATAACAACAACATAGTGTACCAAACTGTAATTGCAAATGAAAGTATTAATCCCTACAACAAAAACAAGTTAATGTCAAGTTTTTATTATCTTCATGGACTTTGGATAAAAGAGGTTTACAATGTATTGTATGCATTCTTGCGGTGTAACAGTCTAAAATTTTGCCTTTTCAGTCAGGTGCACATTAACAAAGTTAAATCTGGTTTTTTTCTGACATCTGAAATATTAGTCTGTAATCCACTTGGATTTCGAGTCATTTCCCCTGTCCTCTGTTGTACTGGGCATCAATCCATTCTACCTCAATCTCTCCATAGTCACTCAGGAACCTACTGTGGAGCCGTGTAGGCCTATTAACACTTGCAACAAGTGTAGAGAAAACTGGACACACCACGGAGTCGGGTAAGCCTGTCTACCCCAATTTACACTAAAGAACCTAATTAAGAACCTATTCAGCCTAAATCGCCAATAGGGACCCAAAATACAAGAACTTACTTTACCAGACTTAACTTTGTTAATTGTGCACCTGACTTAAAAAAAAATAGGTCCTTATACGCAGGTTTTCACTTTATCTCACCATATATCCGTGAATCCAGTCCAAGACAATTGGTCATGATTTTACCAACTGCAGGCCTCATCTCCATGCTCAAAACCGGGCTCTCTCGTTCACACAGAATCTCAAAACAATTAAGCAGTACACTTTCAACATGAAGATTTTCTTATTTGTTTTGTCTATCCTGGAACGAGCCCTAACTTCTGCCAACCACCAAGAACTTCCTCGCGGTCATGGAGAAGAACTTGGCAAACACAGAGACAGCGATGGGCATGTAGAGATTTTACAACAACTTCCATCGCCTCAGGAGTTTTGGGACCAATATGCAAGTTTGCGAAAACCTGTTGTTTTTCGCGGAGCAGCTAAAAAATTTCCTGCTTTCCATTTATGGACTGATCAATATTTAAAAGACAATTATGGCGAGTTAGAAGTTAAACTGGAGGCTAAACGCGAGAAAGATCATGTTCCTGTTGGAGAAAGGGGTCTTGGTCGTGACACGATTCGTAGTTTTCTGGAAACTTATCAACAGAAAGATTCCTATACTGTGTCTCAGCTGCCAGATCCGTTGTCAACAGAAGTTTTCGTGTTACCCTCCCTGATGTGTGGTTCTTTCAGTGAGAGAATTTTAGAAGCAAATCTTTGGTTGAGTTCGGGCGGAACTCGCAGTATGTTGCATAAAGATGCAGACAATGCCATTAATTGCTTGCTCAATGGCACCAAAGACTGGATACTCATTCACCCAGAAAACGAACAAAACGTACGATCTTGCAGATAAGAATTATTTTGAAATCTTTATTTCGTTTTTTGATGAAAAGATGGCTTCAAATAGTTTTTTTTGACAAAGAAAGCTCTCTTGAATTGAAATTTGTCACTTCGTTCAAAGTTGGAAATTTTTCATGCTTCCTTGTTCTAATCTTCCATTCCTAGACCTTTTATATTGAGATCTGCATCTCAAAAAGTCATCACCTTGTCATTGACGCCTTCAGAAAAACACTTTGTCGTCAAATTTACCTTAGAAACTAGTTCAGATTTTTTAAAATATGAACCTTTGCCATGGTAATGAAGTATTTGAAATCTGATAGCAATTAACATGATAAGTTCTTTAGTTTTGATACTCGATCGCTCAATTTTTAAATTCGTATGAACTATTTACTAAGCTTCCGCATTTAGCAAAAGGTCCGCTGCGTAAATAATTGCTAAGCTTGGTGAACAAAACTTGGTAAATAACCACTGTTATTTACCTGTATGAAACAGGTGTTTTTTCGTTGAATAATTTACTTATAAATTGTTTCTTTAAGACGTTGAGTCCACTATCTCATTTAACTGATTCACAATCTTTAGTGATGAGAAAACGTTATTTGAAAATCTTTGTGACTTTTTTCAAATCTTTGTTAAGAAAAAAAATGGAAAGCTCCTGTGGACAGTTGTGGTTATGGTTTTCAATTGGATTTTCCCTTTTAAAATTTCTCAAGTGAAAATATTTTTCGTTAAGTCTAGATTGTTTCCATAAATTCGAGATTTCTTAAGTTGACACTTTCATTTAATTGAGAATTTTTTAAAGTCTTAGATGATCTATTTTCCTTATTGTTAAGAAAATTTTCAACTTGGGAGGGAATGGTACTCAACTTAATTAGGAAGAATATCCTTGTGCAAAAAAAAAGTTCTTTGCTTCCATGTAAGGAAAACAATCTTGACCCAGTTAAGCCTTTGAGTTGTAGCAGCTATTCACAAGAGATCTGATGTCTTTACTAATATTTGTGGATTGCAGATACCAGTTGCTGATGGGGACAGAGGCTATGGAGGGTTTGCCACATTGGATGTTCAAAGTGTAAATCTTATCAAATATCCCAAATTCAAACAAGTTAGATGGCAGTATGCAAATATGACACCAGGAGATTGCCTGTTCTTGCCTTACAGTAAGCACTACTTACTAGCCATATAATGTAACCAAAGTAAAAAATTTCTGTATTTTTAATCAGTTTTTTTTTAAAACCATTAGTGTTACATCCTGCACTTTCACTACTGACATACTATGTACTTGTAATGCTGATGGTATTAAAAAAAATTATTAAAAAGATTGAAATTTTTCACTTTACCCATAATACTAAAATTTCTAACATAGACATTTGATACTAAGAATAGTTACCATACATTATCATGAATATCTAGACTTTGTACATGAAGATTTTAAGAGAAACTTTAGTCTCAAGAATTAAGCACTTTAAAAGGGGGCAAAGGGTTGATGTTTTCTGCATGTGATAAATCCCAAAATTAATACATGGCACATGAATTTTACATAAAGGCAATGTAAGGTGAGATTTGAAGTTTTTGACCTATGAAACACTGTTTTAAGTACATGTGACATGCAAATTTTTAAAATTTGTGCATGAAAAGAGATCAGGACCCTCATTCTAAGAAAGTGTACAGAGTACATGCATGTATTAGATAGTTTCTGAAATGTCATGCTCTATCAGTGTGTTAGGTAGTGTGTACTAATGTCTGCATGCAGCTATTTCAAAGCCTACCATTATTAACTAAAGATGGATGTTTATAATTTATATCAGGTTACTGGCATCAAGTGCGATCATATGGCTCAAAGAACATGGCTGTTTCAGTTCTGTTCTCACGCCTGACAGAGTTTGACCCTATTGGATGTGAGAGTGCCAAGCTAGAGTACACACCCCTGTCTGATGTGAACATGGTATGGACCTACCCAGGACATGGCCCACAAACCATGGGGAACTTAGATCCATTTGAAATGAAGTACGTATTACATGAATTATTCAATACTAGAAGGTATAGGGCCAACAAGTATAATAATTGAAAGTAGAAGATAAATAAGAAATAGAAGCTGTAGCCAGGTTAATCTGGACACCATGTTGTTTGATCAGATTACACACAAGACTGGGAACTATTCACATCAGGTAAAATGTCCCAGGTGTTGTGCAAAGTTTGCACAGACCCTTAAGCAACTTTTTATTGTAAAGTTAACCCTTTATCTCCTAAAAATGAGTGGGATCTTATTTAGTTTTACATTATCCAAATTAAACAAAACCAAAGTGATCCTTTTTTAATTGGTATATGCAATCAAGTTAAAAGTTTTCCATGTGTCCTCATTTGGCCAATTCTCAGATAAAGATGGGTAAGTTTCTAAAGAAACAGCTAGGGTAATTTAATAGTATCAACTGAGTTGATAATGTAAATAGGCCACTTTAACCCTTTAACTCCCATGAGTGATGAAGACAGAATTTCTCCTTACAATATCAATACAATATCAACCAGATAAGTGATGAGAATAAAGAAAAATATCAATTTGGGGATAATCAGTTGATCCAATACTAAATTCTCTGAACTAACATTATAAGAATTGTATGGTTGACAGTAAGGAGAATTACAAATTTGATCTGGGAGTTAAAGGGTTAAAGAGTTTCAAAGCTGATGTTTTGAGCATTAGCCCTTTGTCAGAGCCTTTTCTAGGATAAGTTCCTTTTCCAATTGATCTTGCATGAATAAATAATATTATGCTCCCTGGGATCACTGTTAATTTCATCTTTGTTTAATTTGTTATAGAGATCATTATATCAGTTTTGTGGAAAGTAAGAAAAGTAAGAGACTGGACATAGAAGACTTTTTTCAACTACTTACTGAAGTAAGGAAACCTATACATGAGTATGTGTGATCCTACAATAAGCATCCTGCGAGGGATTTTTGATTTGAATAATACATGTATGATACCACTGTAGCCTATGTGGGAGACATGATGACACAGTGATTACTGTGCTGGAATCCAGGTCAAGAAGTCTGGGTTTGAGATCGGGCCAGGTCATTTTGTTGTGTTCTTAAGCATGACACTTTAATTTCACAGTGTCTCTCTCCACTCAGGAGTATCAAATTCTTACTAATCAGGCGTGAGGGCTTTACTGGGGAATATTGACCCAAAGTCGTGGCAGTATAGACCCAGGACAGGGAGGTCTGTACAAATATGATCAAGGGCCAATATTTCCTAGTATGACTCCAGCACTCAGACAAACTTGTTTATTTGGGAGACAGAAGACAGAAATATGTGGCTCATGAAATTTCAGTGGAAATGGTCCATATGGAAAAATCCAGACCAAGCAAGAATGCTCAGATTTACCTCAAGACTACCTTGCCATATAATGAAAATGGGTACTTTTTACCAGCAAATTGTCAGGGAATTCGAAGCCTGATGAAATGCTAAGGGATAACCTTGTGATGGACTGGCATCCCATTCAGGGGGGAGTAGCTCTTTCTCCTTGTAGCTTGGAAAGCAAGGAAATCAGGATAAACCCCAGCTGGGTGGGCCCCTTTGCTCTAGAGCAGACTCTATAACCTCAGGTTAAGAGAAGTAAGGGACACTCCCTTTCTTCTCTTTACGGCCTCTGGCTAAGAGTAATTTTGTTGTAAGACACTTAAAATGGGCCATGAAGGCAAAAAAATACCACAAATGCATCAATTATCATTTCATTTAATTTTAGCGAGATATATTCAGACATAGAATGATGTAATTTAGATATGCAATTTTCAGAGCTGTATTCATAACCCTCATAGATTTTGTTTTTCTCTTGTCAACAATAATTAACCACAGACACATAGTGTGGTCTGCCTGTGCTATGACTTACTTTTGCTGTTCTTGCAGGGTGAAGTTATGGAAGAACATGAAGATGTTAGAAGAAACATCGCTGAAAAAGTAAGTTAGTAATTTATGATGACATAGGCCAACAACAGCAGGCGACTGGCAAAAAGTTGAAATATTATTTATTATTTAAGTAGGGAGGGGAATGAGTGAAAACAAGTTAACATTAAAAGTATAATTATATACAATTAAAAGGCGTAAATTCTAAGGTAAGAGAAGAGAGATTCTGTGCACTTTAAAATTGTGTACAGTAACTGTGGATCATTGATGTTCTTGTCTCGTGGCCTCCAAGTTCCCCAGTTTCCTACACTGTATTAAGTTTTAATACCAAACAAAGAAAACTTTTGTTTAAGATTTATTTTCAATTGAAAACCAAAGTAATCACAACAACCAACCTGAGGAAACGAGTTGCAATACTCAATTGAAAATGTCTCTATTGGTTGAGAAAGTGGTGTAAGCTTTTTAAACCAATCACAGAGTGAAGTGATTGAAGTAAAACCTTGAAGAAATCAATTAAAAGACACAAAATTATAATTCTAAAGAGAAGAGAGATTGTGTGCACTTTAAAATTGTGTGTTATTGTAGATCATTGATATACTTGTCTTATGGCCTCCAAGTTTCCCCAATTTTTTTATGTTTTAATGCCAATCAAAGTAAACTTTTATGAAGGAACTCTTTTCATTTCAAAGTGAAAGTGATGAAAAATACTTTGTTTATTTTACCTTTAAAGGTTGTTACAATAATGGATGCTGAAAACAAAGGTTATGTCACCAAACAAGACATTGAGGCCCTTACAATAGAACAAGTGAAACAAGTGGCAAATGAGATTGATCCAGACCCTGCAAACACTGAGGAATATGAATTTGCTGTTTTTGATCTGAAGGAAGTCAAGTAAGAGACATGGAACGATTCTTGCTACTTTAATGCCACAATATTTTTTTTCTTTTTTGACAGTAGTTTTTAGAATTTGGTGAAGAAGAGACTAATTTTATGTCAGTGGTGGGGCAATAATAACCTGCCCCCCCCCTCCCCTCCCACCCTCTTACTTGCCCCTCACCGTGGTGCCCTTGGTTGGTTTCCAGGCTGACGTCATTTGTGAGATATGTCTCTTGTTGGTTCCAGTCCTTCCTCTGAAATTTTTTCTTGGTCTCCTGTTTTCTTCCATCCCCTAAATCCAGAATTCTCACAAGTGTTTTATTTTTTTCCTCTTTTCAGGTCTGTTTTTAACCAAGCTTTGCAAGATGGACATGGAAAACTGACAAAGGACAACTTGATAGCACGTTACGAGGTAATTAACATGACACCTGCAGAAAAATTGTTATTGGAAAAGGGGTCCAAGAACTAAGGCACTTACAAATATAGCAATTTTCAACTGGGTTGCTTCACTTTGCCCTATGTAATTTGTCCAGAAATCTTGTTCCTCCAAATTTCACATTTACCTTAGAGCTTTTCAGCCAATATATAAATAATGTTTAGACAATTTGTCAGCCACAGACATCATCAGCTGACATACCAGCCACTAATTATGTTCTGTGTTCATGTTAGTCACGATTCATGGCTATTTTTTATCCTCTAGGATTTTGGTGGCTCTGCTAAAGTGGCGAAGGAACTTTACAACATGCTTCAGCCAAAAAATGCAGATTTTGTGTCAGAAGAAGAACTGAGGGAGCGTCTTGACCATGTCTTGAAGCTTTATTTGAAAAAGAAAGATGATGATAAATCAGGTTTGAAAAGCACACAAAACTTTAGAGTGACTTTCTTTTGAGTGTCAAAAGTAACCTGTGATGGCATCAGTTTTGCTTCACTCTGTACTGTGAGTGATCCAGAAAAGTTACTCAATTTGTTCAACCTATTGGATGCAAAACTAAAACCAATGACAACTTGGCGCGTTTTCCCATGCTTTAAGTTGTAAGCTTGTTTTTATTCTGAGTTGTCATTGGCTCTTTAGGTTATTTTCCTTTTTCCCAATTGACAGTTGTGATTATTTTGGTTTTGGTTTTAAGACACTCAATCAATAAGCACTTTCAAATATGTACTCACTGACTTAGTGGGAGGGCTGCAGAGAAGTCCACACTTTTTCAACGAAAAGCTTAAATGTCACTGTCAGGCCCAATCAACTTCAGTCAATAATCATTTCATCATATGACCATGAAGACTTGAAAATTTGTTTGAACCTAATTGGAGTGCCCTTACAAAAATCAGTAATAAGGGGGCTTTCAAGGCAACTATAAAAAAAATTAGACAATAAAAACCTTTCCTTTATTTCTTTGAGTCAGAAAAAAAAATCATGAAAAACACAACTTCATCTCTCATTTTTTGGAGAGATCCACTCTCTGAAATGCTTTTCCAGGGTGAAGTGTCATTTAATGATGTCAGAATTTTTCTTTCTTTCAGGAATTTTCTATGAAAAAGAATTGGCTGAAGATAAAGAGATCATGAAACAAACACATCTACCATCAGATAGCTTGGATTCCATACACAGAGAATCAACACACTCTGAGCTGTGATTTTCCAAAAAAGCACTTCTTGATAAGCCCACCAAAGTTTGTTTTGTTGTCAGAAAAATGCCTTGGTTTTTTTGGCAAGTAAAATAAGCTTTTCACAGTAAATTATAAACAATTTCGGGAAATATTTCCTGAAAATTTTCTGTATTTATAATACTGAACAAAAAAGTAAAGTGAATATGCTAACTAATTAAAAGTTACTTCCTGTAGGAAGGAGAAGTGAATAAAACTAGAATAAAAGTCATCTTATATTTTGTGTGGATTTGTTTCTGTATGCGCAGCTGGAACATATTAAGGCAGGAAAGGAACAAGCACCTGAAAAATATCTATTGAGGCATTATCCCATTTTAGCCCTTTAAACCCTAAGGGTCGCTGGCATCTAATTTCTTCCCAGAGTATCACCCCTCAATACCACATTAAGGTCAAGAGGATAAGGGAAATGATCATCTCAACTAAAGAAGCTTTTGATTGTTTGAAAATTAAATTCTCTCTGTCAGTACCCAAGGAAATCGGTAGAGAACAGTATGGAGAATATGCATACTGATATAAGGATGTAAAAGTTTGGTGGATCAGATTATTTCACTGGTCCTATTGTGAATATTAATGTCCTATTTTAAATGGTGGCTTACAGCCCTGTAATTAATACTCCAATTTTAATTTTGCTTAGGGTTATTTTACCTTTTTTAACAGTTTTGAAATACCCGTGTTAGAAAGCACTCTACTTTGCACGTTTCCTTAATTTAGACAGCCCCGAGTTTAATCAATTGAGTTCTCTTTAATTGTACTGTTGAGAAATTCCAGTACCATAATTGCCTGTTTTTGCACGCGTTACGTACCTTCAATTCATGCCAGAAGCTTAGCATCCTCGCACACTGCAAAGAAGAATGAGAACGAGTAAAGAGCTTAGTGATGGCGGTCGTGCGGCCTGTAGTTCTCGAATGAATTGTTAACATATAGATCAGTGATACTTCACCTGATCATTTCAGCGCAATATGTCTTCAAATCCTTCTAAGCCAAGCCTCAAAAGACCCGCTGAGTCAGAAATCAACGATGAAAAAGATGACAGCCTGGACAAGGCGGAAGAACGTTTTCGGATAAAAACTCTGGATGAAATTCGACTAGAAAAACGAAGACGCCTTGAAAAAGATGATGCCTCCGGAGAGGAACGCAATGGATCACCAACTGACAATTCGGGAACTGCTAGCCCAGTAGATTCAGCCAGACGAGATCGGAAGCCTTCCTCGAAACAAAGTTCTCCGACGGTTCAGGGAACAGAAAGCGAAGTCATTTACCAGCTTAGTCCTGAGCAAACTAGTTTGTCTTCAGGTAGGTAGATCAGGTACAAATGATTACTTGTCTTCTATCGTGGCCAACACACTTAACTAGCGCAATCAGATAATGTTCAGTTTTGGGCAACCTTTTGACTGGGCTCTAACCCAATGGGCTCTAACCCAATTTTCCAATGTCGCCATTTAGAGAGGTAAAGTTACCAAAGCTCCCTCGAAGTAAAAGTCTAGTATTAGCTGTCGCTCTTTTCTGCAGGCTCACAGGACCTCACAAGGCTTGTTTCTTGGGGTTACCGGTTACCTCGCCTCCAGGGAGACTCGCCACCAGCAAACTTGCCACCAAGGAACGATCTCGCCACCAACGTACTCGCCACCAAGCGAAGTCTTCTCGCCACCAACCACCAATAAAGAGATAAACTAGAATAAAGTAGTCGAGGAGAGTAGGATGTTCGAACGAGCACAATTCAAATCGGCCAATACGTTTGTGCGCTTGTCTGTATTTAAATTATGACCTTCAGCAATGTGTTAGATGTGTTCCGTTCCTAACTCATTGACATCGAAACATATCGTGTTTGTCTTTTGCACGTAAGCGAGGAGAAATTGCAAAACTTGATGTGAGGAATAAAAACTTACTTCGGTTTCGAACGTGCTATCGACAACATACATTTATAAAGTTTGAGTACAGACAAGCGAACAAACTTATCGGTTTCGAACATGCTTTTGACGACATACGTTTATAAAGTTTGAGTACAGACAAGCAAACAAACTTATCAGCCGAACATCCTACTCTCCTCGACTAATCTCTTTATTGGTGGTTGGTGGCGAGAAGACTTCGCTTGGTGGCGAGTACGTTGGTGGCGAGATCGTTCCTTGGTGGCGAGTTCGCTGGTGGCAAGTCTGCTTGGTGGTGAGGTAACTGGATACCGTTTCTTGGACAAGCTAGACGAAAGTAGGAAGTTTTCAAGACGGATCATTAATTTAATTTTTTGCAAACGTTTTACCTCCAGTTATATCATGAACATCAATCAATACAGGCGTAAAAACTTCGACTTGCTTTTGATATGCTGCTCTTCTCAGGTAGCCAGTTTGAAAACTTTGGTTGTACATTTACTAGCCAAATTTATGTCTTCTCTCCATGGGGACCCAAAAGATTGCAGCCTACTTGCTGCTTGAAAACTGCTATTCTTCCCCAGCCATGTGATTATACACACACATGTACCTGTAAACTCTGCCTGGAAAGTGAGAGGAAATTCCTGCCCTGTATGAGCCCTGTAATATGTATTTCAATCATCATTGTTACAATTTCAGCATCATCACCAAGTAGAACTCCGAAAAAGTTGAAGCAACCCTCATATCATGATGGTGGAACCAGTGGGGTCCAGGTGAACAGGAGGAGGAAAACAGAAGAAGAAGAAGGTGAAATTGTGAGTGACCCATCTGATTCTGAAAGTAGAAGGAGTGAGAGCAGATCAAGAAGGTACTCATCTATTAGTAATCCTGAGGTTGAAGAGAAACATGAAGCTGCAGAACAAAGAGGTAAAGGTAAGAATACAGCAGTGGGCTCTCAAACCCTTTGACCCTTTAACTCCCAGAAGTGATGAACATGCAACTTCTCCCTATAATATCCATACACTATTCAGCAAACAGATAATGAGAATAATCAAACTTATCAGGTGGATTTGATATCTTGATCTAACACCAAATTCTTGTTACTAATTTACAAGGTAATGTGTAGCAGGAGGAAGGGAGAGTTAACAATCAGTTCTCAGCAGTAATAGGTTCATGATAATTAAAATGGTATCAATAAATGAGTTTGAGGTCATGTCGATCGATATACTTTGCTTTAATACACCATCGGGTTTTTAAACTGTAACTCTTTTGGGTCTGTTTGGCTTCACAGCACTCTTGTTTATAATTATTGTTATTTGAATTTATCCATGCAGATATAACACAAGAAAAGAAGACAGATGAATCAAGTGAAGAAGAGGATTCTGATGAAGAAGAAAGTGAAGAAGACACTGAGACAGCAACTGCCACCAAGAGAGTTCAGCAAGGGAGGAAGGAAATGGCAGAGGGGAAGAAAGAAAGCAGTGTCTCTGAATCTGGAAGTGATAGTGAAGAGAGTAGTAGTGATGATGACGACGATGATGGAGATGAGAAGATGGAGGAAGCAGTTTCTAAGAGTGAGCACAAGGAAAGCAAAGCAAAGCAGTTGAGGGAACCTGAGTTAAAGAAAAGTGCACCAAAAGAGATGGTTTTGAAGAAAAATAATGATGATGATGAGGGTGATGAAAGTTCTAGCGAAGAAGAGGACAGCAGTGAGGAGGAAAGTGAGGAAGAGGAAAGTGAAGAAGATGAAAGTGAGAGTGACAGTTCAGAAGAAAGTGAACAAGAAGAAGTAAACAAAGAAGTTGTGGAAAAGACTGAAACCATGAAGACAGAGGAGTTTGAAACAGAAGATCTTCATAAGGAATTGCAACAGCTTAAACGTCAAAGACCAGGTGATGAGAGACATAGACATAAACTGAAAACAGAGAGACATCATTATGAAGAAAGAGAACACAGAGGAAAGGGACAAGGCTCCTCTGATGTGAGGAGTGATAAAGAAAGGGTCAGGGAGAAGGGAAAAGGCCAAGGAAAGTATCAAGGTGATACAGAAAGTCGACACTCACAAAGCAAAAGTAAAGGAAGATCTTACGAGAAGGGAAGATCTGATCAGGTTGCAGTGGATCTTAAACATAAAGAAAGTCGCGATAAGCACAGATCATACCCAAAGGATAGCACTAAGCTGAAATCAGAGAGACCAGATGCAAGAGAAAAACAGTCTAAGATGGATGTGGAGAGAAGAAAAAAAGACAGATCACGCAAGGACTCAGAGAAGCGTGTCAGGTCTTCTACTGAGGACTCTTCGAACCGTGAAACAAAAGGCAAAGATAGGAAAAACTACAGTGGCAGCAAAAGGAGTAGTTCTGCTTCAGAGAAGAGTAACAAGGAAAGTAAAGATGTTGAAGAAGATGTTCCCCAAAATGAACCAAAGAAAGAGGAAGGAAAGTCACTAATCCTGACAGATCGTGAAAGGAGACAGTTCACTAACGAAGTTGTTGACATAGAAAGTGAGGGTAGCAGTGTGGAAGATGAAAAACAAGGTGTTCCCTCAGATGTTGAAATGAAGCTTTCTGATGGTGAACAAGAAGATGACGAGGAAGAGGAAAAAACCAAACTCCCTCCATACTATCCAGCTGTTCGTGGCTGTAGGAATGTGGAAGAGTTTCAGTGGTTGAATAGAATTGAAGAGGGAACATATGGGGTTGTATACAGAGCTAAAGACAAAAGAACAGGTTTGATTCTTGTTGTGTTGTGGACCATTAAAAATGTGATTTATTAAACAAGTTATCCCTCTTAGACACCATTCCTTCCATGCATAATTCACAAGATTGTTACTTAACAAATAGATTGTATGTTGGCGTGCATCTGTTCAGTAATACATGTAGATCACAGATGAAATAAAAATATGGTAGGAACAAAATACAGCAAGCAGGGCATGAGACGCAGCTGAGTATGTCACTGATATTCTTGTGACTGTTTGGCATCTTCTTGTGATCTACTGTGTATTACAGACCCACAGCAACATGGAATTTATTTGTTTATACTTGTATGATAAAAAAGCAAGCTGTTGTTAACCCTTTAACCCCTAAGTGTGACTAGCATCTAATTTCTCCTTACAATATCACCCCTGAGTCACACATTAAGGTCATGAGAATAAAGAAAATGGTCACTAACAAAAGAATCTCTTTATTTTTAAACAAATTCTCCTTATCAGCACCTTAGCAAATATATAGAGAACAGTGTGGAGAATATTGGTACTGATGTGAGGGTGCAAAGGGTTAATGGTGATGTCATTTAGACATTTCTCTTCCAGTTGATCATAAGTAAGAACCAGTCAAATGTATGTGTAATTCAGCTAATTAACTTCTTTCCCTATAGGGAATGCTAGTCCAGAATTCTGTCAGGTTTCTCCAACTTAGTTGTACCCATTTCTACTCTTGTCTGGAGAGAGGAACTCTAGAACACAACACAATGACATGCCCCCATCTTGAACTTCCAAACCTCTCAGTTTACCTTTCAACATGCTAATGATAGGCCAATCTCGTACCCCAAGCATTAAAAATTCAAAAAAACAAAACAAAACAAAAAAATTTTTTTAAAAAGTCTGTATTTTAGCCGAGTGGCCCATCCAGCCAGAGCTGATCCCAGTTCCCTGAATGGGATGCCAATCCATCAAAAGGTTACCCCCTAAACATTTCTTCAGGCTTTCCTGACAATTCACCTGTGCCCATTTACATGTATACTCCTGGGTGGAGAGAGGAACTCTGAGGTGAAAGTGTTTTGCACTAGAACACAACACAATGACAAGCCCACATCTCAAATCTAGACCTTTCCAATCAAGCCCACTGACCACAAAGCCACCATGTCTCTTACCCCAAGAGTGTTATATCAAAATTAGTAAATACCCTCTAGTGAATGAATATCTTTCTGTTATCACCTGTTTCATTTATTAAACCCCCTCCTCTTTATGTCAACAGGTGATATAGTTGCTTTGAAGAAATTGAAGATGGAAAGAGAGAAGGAAGGATTTCCAATCACATCTTTACGGGAAATCAACACTCTTTTGAAAGCACAGCATCCGAACATTGTCACAGTTAGAGTAAGTGTACTGGTTAATATGCTTCCATATTTCTCTGTTGAAAAATGTATGTTGCTATTACGAATGAAAATATGGGATATGCAAAAGAAAGAAGACAGAAATGTTGAAAAGTGAACATAATTACAAAAACCAAGGAAATATTACTTGTTAAATTTATGTTATTTGCTCTCTTTAAATGCTTATTTTTTCCTCTTTCTGTAGGAAATTGTTGTAGGCAGCAATATGGACAAGATATACATTGTAATGGACTATGTTGAACATGATCTAAAAGTTCTTATGGAGCACATGACACAGGGGTTCAGAATAGGTAAGCTACTTTTTTGCATTGAGTTGAAAAGAGGCACTGGATGAGACTTCAAAATAGGTCTATCAACTTTTAATTAATGCTTTTATTTCAGTCTGCATTCAATGTACAATGTGTAATATACAGTATAAAATTACATTGTAAGTAATTTCATACTGCGATTTAGCAGTTGAAGAAAAATATTGTGATGGAAATTTGTTTATTATTATTGCTGAAATTAAAGTCGAACCTTGCTTATTGTGACTTGTTGGGACTGGGCTTAATAGCCTGGATAATTGAGAGTCTGGATTAAAAAAATATGAATATTGAGGTTAATATGCAATGGAACCAGAGAAACAAGTCTGTGTAATAAGAAAATGCAGGTAATGGAGGTTGTGATAATTGAGGTGGAACTGTTTCATTGTTATTGTTATTTTTGTCATGAATTTCTTAAAAATTGACATTGTACATGACTGTACAAATGTATGTATTGGTACTTTAAAAATATCTATTGAAGATTAATTGTGAGACTGGCTAGATATGTAACAAGTAACAAATTTTCACATGACGAGTAAACTTTTTCTTTTTTCATATATTTAGGTGAAATCAAAACTCTTATGATTCAACTTCTACGGGCTGTGGCTCATCTCCATGACAACTGGATACTGCACAGGGATCTAAAAGCCTCTAACTTACTGCTCAGTAATAAGGGAATCTTAAAGGTTTGTTAACACTAAAGAATGCAAAACCAAAGAAATAGTTGTAAGGGAAACTGCAGTAAAACAATGTTTAAAATGGTATATGAAATTAATAGCATTCTTATACTTATAAGTACTGCATGATGCAGTAGTTTGTTGATGAGCTGGTAAATCCAAGCATTTATTGTAGTGCACCTTCATATCCACTCAATCAATTCTCTTTAGGTTGGTGATTTTGGACTTGCAAGGGAGTATGGTTCTCCACTGAAAAACTACACTCCTGTCGTGGTGACTCTGTGGTACAGAGCCCCTGAACTCTTGTTAGGCACCAAGGTACTCTTTTTTCTTCTTGATATTCAACTTCACAGCGATCGATCGATCGAAAAGATTTTGGCTACTAAGTTTGCAATGAAGTTTGCTTATTTGGTGACAAAATTATGTAGTTTTTGTGGTTTGATGTTAAAGTGAGAAAAAGAAAAGTTGCATAAAATAAAGATTTCTTCATAACTCTGCTTCATAAAGATTTGCCCTTTTCTTCGTTGTTGTTGGAGTACATATGCTTGTACATGCAGATGTCACATCAACCTCCAAAACAGAGTTAGCCACAATGCTAATTTCACAGCCAAGGTGTGGTCAGGAGAATAGTGCATTGCCCAATGTTGCACAAAGTTTTGGGTTCTCTCTTGTGGTTCAGGACACACAAATGTACCTAGTAGTGAAATGAACTTGGATGCAAACATGTATCTCGAAATATTTTACTTTTTGTTCTATTGTAGTTCATTTATTGATGAGTGAAATATCAAATAACATTAATTTTGCTCTTTGTGGTTTTGTTTTTAAGGAGTACTCCACCCCCATAGATCTTTGGTCCGTTGGTTGTATATTTGCAGAGTTATTGACCATGAAGCCATTGTTTCCTGGCAAATCTGAGATAGACCAGATCAACAGAATATTTAAAGTAAGACAACATTATTATGATCATTAGTTGCTCTTTTCAAGATTGATTAAACATGAGTGTTTGATAATTTTTTTTCCTTCTTAGGAGCTTGGCACACCAAGTGACAAAATTTGGCCAGGTCCTCCATCGTATTCAGAGCTTCCAGCAGTACAGAAGGTACATTTATTACTAATAACAGTTATTATATTTTTACTTGATCACCTAAAACTCCAAGTTGTAACTCTTTTGAATAAGAAAAAATTTTGTTTAATTGGTAACTACATATGAAGCATATGTCACTTGGTTGGTAACCTCAGTACTCTGTGGTCATGTGACAAGCTTCCCTTATTGATGGTCCAAAGGTAGACTGACATAAAAAATTTAATGCTTAAAAATAACATTATTTTAAGCTCCATTTTTTTTTTCTTTTATGAAAATTTCTCCTTTCTCCAAAAACAATTACCAGGCAACTTTGTTTTTTGTTTGGTTTTTATTTTAACTTTCATCTGGCTACTTCACTTCAATTTTGGGACCATTTTTGGTGATTACTTTCCACTGAAAAGCAGCATCAGTTTTCATTACTCTTTGGTCTGTCTTTTTCATGGACAAGTACAGTTTTTCTAGAGCCACTTGGATGTTATAAAGAGTCTCATTCTGAATTTTCCAAACTTAGACAAAAGGAAGTTCTTATAACTCATTTATTTAGTCTGTTATTGAATGTATTTAAATGTTTTTACTTTTAGATGACCTTCACTGACTATCCTTACAACAATTTGAGAAACAGGTTTGGAGCTTACCTCACAGACAAAGGCTTTGATTTGTTAAACAGGTGAAGCTTCAACTCCTAACACCCACTTCAAATTCTCCTTTGTGGCTGCTATTCATTTCCTTGTATATTTGTTGAGAGAATTTGTTGTCATGTTACATGTATTTAAAGGAAAACTTTCAATCTTTTTCAAGGTTCTTGACATATGATCCAGGCAAAAAGAAAAGAATTACAGCTGAGGATGCTTTGAAGCATGCATATTTCTCCGTAAGTGCATACTTATTTCATAATATAGATTACACTTTAGGAGATAGCATATAAAGTGAGTTTCTGCTGTTACTTTAACCATAATTATTGGTAATTGAACCAAACAAGGAAAGAGAACAATATTTATGAAAATATGAGCAAAGGAAAAAGGTCAGTTGTTTGAGATCTAAGAAAACAAAGGTGATTCCTTTTTGGTTGTGACTCACGAGGGAGAAGCACTCTGCCCCAAAAGCAAAAATATGAATATCCTCAGAATCACGGAAAGTCTACAAAGTCCTTTTACTTTGTGGCAGGGCTGTGTATGCTCTCTCTGGTAACTTACCAAAAGCTTTTGATTCTTGCCTTCTTCTGACAGCAAAGATTTTTTCCTTTCCACTTCCTTTAGGAATCTCCCCAACCTGTGGACCCCTCCATGTTTCCAACATGGCCAGCTAAGAGTGAAATGGCAAAAAGGCCCAAGAGAAAAGATGTAGAACACAGTCCCAAAGCCCCTGAGGGAGGGGCTATGTTTGCCAAGCTGGTGAGTACCAGAGTTTGATTCTTTCTTACTGCAATAGTGGTAGATGGTTCAGTTTCTTGGTAAGGAATTTGTCATTTTTTATGAAACAAGGCACAGATTTGTGATGTGTCAGTTTGAAGGACTGGTTGACTAAGTGATAGCTGGGATAAGTTGAGTTATTGAAAAAAAGCTGACAGTAATTGACGGATTTATTTAGTGAAAAACTGACTGATGGAGTGACTGACTAAGTGGCTGATTCACTAACTCACTGACTTACTGATTCACTGACTGTCTGTCGGACTGACTTTTTGATTGACTGTCTGACTGAGACTGACTGACTGACTAAACTACTGTCTGAATGACTGACGAACTGACTGCCTGTTGACTGAATGATTGATTGATGTATTGATTTACTGACTCTTGTCTTACTGACTGATGGACTGTCTCTTCACTGGCTGATGGACTTCAGGACTGATCATCTGATTTGCTGACTGATCGATTGATCTACTGCCTGATTGTGTGATTCATTGACTAATTGACTGACTCATCATTTTCTATAATTTTTTCTTGTTTAGTAACTTACTATATTAGCTGTATTTTTATCTATCTTTGTTGTGGTTCTGATTCAGTATTTTAATGAATAATTTTATTATTATCTTTTATTTATTATAAATTTATCTTTTTGTTTATTTGTTCATTCAGGCAGATGAGGGTGACAGTGGCAGTGGCAGCTTGGGATTCCGCATGCCAACTTCCCAGAAGGGATCTGCAGCAGTTGCTGGATTCACTCTCAAGTTTTAGTCGCCTTACATTGTATCTGTTTCCAGTTGACATAAAAACCTAACAGTGTTTGTACATTTTATTGTAAATATTTCCTTTGTTAAGAAGGAAAAAAATAAATGATTTTGCATTACTAATGTACATTGTGAACCATGTGATGAGTAGAAAGAAAAAGATCTGATAGGAAATACAGAGTATGTGCCTCAACACCAAATCCCCAAAGCTGAAATTATGATAAATGGATGGTAGACTTTTAGAAGAAGTGGGAAAATGAATGGGTAAAGTTATGACATTCACAATGATTGTAGCTGAAAAAATGACTGTAAAGCATTTACTTCCATAGTTGCAATCTCTGCTGTAGAGTGACTTGCAACTAAATTCTCCCTATGAAATCCCCCCTCAATCACATCGTAAGGTCACAAGAGTAAAGGAAATGATGACCAACCAGAGAAACTCTTTATTGTTAAACAAATTCTTTTTGTCAGAACAGTAGGATGTGTACAAAGAACAGTGTGGAGAATATGCATACTGATGTTAGGGTGTAAAGGGTTTAATTCTCTGTTCACTGAACAATCTCAAACCAGAAAACACTCCAGACCATATAACTGAACACAACATGATTGTTGGCATTACTTTTTATAGAGGAAGGGGCTTTCTGTGGCTTGTATTCTTCCAAAATGTGTCACTATACCAAGTTTTTTTTATTATTATTTCCAAATAATAACAAATTTTGTCCATTTTCTGGACTTAAAGGGCCTGTTATTCACATGAGGTCCAACTCAAACTGTGGGTTTTATGCAAGCAGAGGGCCTTGCATATTCTCTTGAGGAGGGTTGTTTTCATTAAATAATTGTCTTTCTATGAGTTAGATTTTGGCCCCCTTAATGCTGTTCACAAAAATTAATGTGCAGATAATATATTGAATTTCTTAAATTTAGCTGCATATTATGCAGCTAAATTTAAGATAGTTTAGAATGCATTTTTGCTTAACATCAGCTAAACTTTGTTTTAATAACTGGCCCAAAGAGTTTTAACCCTTTAATTCTTAGAAGTGATTAACATGTAGTTTCTCCCTATATTATTCGTACATTATCGACCAAAAAAGGTAATGAGAATTAAAGTAAATCTTGTTTCAGCTGCCTCTGATGGACTGTTACATTAAGGACAATCTTTATTTTTCGTTACCATGCGTTCTCCGTATAGCATGCCTGTTTCCTTAGCCGTCATGCATATTTGGCGGAGAACTTTGACGTAGTCGAGCCCTGTTCACATACAGTCCAAAGAAACAGTTGCACCCGGCCAGTGCTTCGCAATGAGCAACCACGCTCGAGACACATGCTCATCTCGCCTCAAGTCGTCGCGCGAGGAATCTGTGACGTTTCACTTTGTTTGAACAAAAAGTACAACAATCAACAATCAGGTGATTTTTTCCGTGCAGGGCCTCACGATCCTGGTCAGCTGACTTCGTCTCAACCAATCAAATGCTAGCACCAGCTTCACCTGAAGTTCGATATGCAACGCCGGTTCCAAATCGTTCCATTCTATCAGTGAACGTGGCAGCAAAAGTCTGTTAGCCTCAGGAGGTAAGTTATTGGGCTAATAATTCTTTTTTTTTTATTACAAATCCTTCCGAATCGGTACCGTTTTGTTCAAGGTTAACCTTTCCTTTATCTGATCAGAGAATGTTTATTTTTAATTTCAGGGAAAATACTAACTCGCAATGGTGGTCAAGATCGGGATTAATGGGTGAGTTAGAACTGAGTGCTCCTTCTTCTTCTTGAGGCAATGTCAGCTTGTTTGCAATGGCTTAAATCATCACCTCCTTGCTTTTTTCTTGCAGATTTGGTCGCATTGGACGACTTGTTATGCGTGCTTCGCTGTCAGAGGGTGCAGTCCAAGTTGTCGCTGTGAACGATCCTTTTATCGACCTCGATTACATGGTAAGTCAGGCCATCTGCAATAGAACTCCAATATCATTGCAGCAATCTAACATGTTATGTGACGTAATCAAAAATTTTTTCTTCTTTTTAATGTCATACAGATTCCGTCATTGCTTTAGTCATATCAGCTCTCTGTTGCATCTTTGGTTCGCAAGATGATCATAAAGCAGCTCGTTTAGTTCGAGAGAACTTCAGTTGAACTTACAATGAAATAAGCAAGTCTGTTATAAATTTATGCAGATCTTGTGGTTAAATTTCTATAGTTGAGCGGCGTCTAGTTGAGATCGGCCAGCTCACAAGAAAGATATTCTGAAACCTTAACCTTTTAATCTTCGTAGAAGTCGTCATTTTTCTTCTTTCTAGTTTGGTCTGCAATGTAATTCAATGTCGTCTGTCGCGCGATCGCCAGATGAGATTTGCTCATGGACAGTTTTGATCAGCCTTTTGGACAAAACGACAAACTTTGATATTGTTTGTTTGTTATACAGAATGATAGAACTGAATGCCTTTACATATTAGTCGTTCATTTTCACGCGAAGTAATGTCAATGTGGTGAAAGTGACATCTGCACCAATTTTTGCGATCTTATTGTGAAGTCATTTATTTTGTTGTTATATTTATTTTAGGAACTAAATTGTTTGAGAAATCAAGCTTGTGATATTGATTCACGGAGCTTAGTTGCAAATTTCGGGAAATCTTTTTTTTGCAAGCGTCAAAAGTACTCTGGTGTTGCTGTGCTTTTGTGCTCCTTTGACTTCTTATTGGTCCAAGAATCTGGCACTACTTTCTCAACCAATCAAATTCAAATGTAAAACCAATCGCCATTTGGTTTTGTAATCACAGCTCAGAGAGTATTTTTGTCTACAATTTGTAAAGACTAGTTTTCTCTGGGAAACTAGTGCCCTGATTGGCTTTTTTTAATTCTTTGGTTGTAACTTAAGGACATTAGGACTTTAGGACACTTGGTCAAAATTCACCCTATCACAGAATTTTTGTTCAGATGTGAAAAAAAGAAAGGTGCACCTCATTGGTTTGCTTTTTTTTTTTGTCTATCAACGAAAGCACTATTCTCAAAATTATTTTAAAAAGAAAGTGCTGGTGTAGATGAATATAGGGTAAGTTTCTAAAGAAACTTTGGTGCTGTGTCAGTGGGAGAGTATAACAGGGTAATTTAGGGTTATCAACTGAGTTAAAAAGGTAAATTGGTCACCGTAAAAAGTTATAGGCTTAAATTTTGAGCATTAGCCCTTTGTTAGAGCGATTGACAAAGGGCTAACATGTGAAATGTTAGCCTTTAAACTCTTTACCATGGCCAATTTACATTTTCAACTCAGTTGATAAAACTGAATTGCTCGTATAGATGGTTTACTATTTGGCTTGCGATTTTTTTTATCGTTAAGGTTTACATGTTCAAGTTTGACTCAACCCATGGTAGATTTAAGGGAACAGTAGAGGCCAAGGATGGTAAACTGATAATCAATGGAAATCCAATCTCTGTGTTTGCCAAGAGAAATCCAGATGAAATCCCATGGGGTGATAATGGTGCTGAATATGTGGTTGAGTCAACTGGTGTTTTCACCACTGTAGATAAGGCTAGTGCACACCTTAAGGGTGGTGCCAAGAGGGTAATCATCTCCGCACCCTCAGCTGATGCCCCTATGTTTGTGATGGGAGTCAATGAAGACAAGTATAACCCAAGCATGACTGTCATCAGGTATGTAGTAGTGCAAGAGTCAAGAAATAAAGTCAATGGAACCCTGTTAAATAATGGGGTGGGGTCGAATTTCATGATTTAAGGACTGTAATGACAAATAAGTTGCACCTCCTGTGAAAGTGTCCTCTTTTAACCCTTAAACTCCCATGAGTGACCAAAACAGAATTTCTCCTTACAGTATTAATATTATAAATAATAATTATTATAATAATATTAATATATTTTATACAATATCAACCAGATAAGTGATGAGAATAAAGAATAAGATCAATGTGGGGATAATTAGTTGATCCAATTATAAATTCTCTGAACTAACATTATAAGAATTGTACAGTTGACAGTAGGGAGAATTACAAATTTGATCTCGGAGTTAAAGGATTAAGTATAGCTGTAAACAACTGGAAAGTAGATATACCCAGGTTAATTTTTAAAAAAATAGGTGAAACAACACTAAATAAAGTATTTAAGTACAACATCAGACCGACTCTCTTCCAATTCTCTTCACTTGTCTGCTGGATAATGTATTGATATTGTAAGGAGAAATTCAGTCTTGGTCACTTGTGGGAGTTTAAGTGTTAATTTCTCTTCTTTCATTGTATTTGGCAATTTGCCTCTTGTGAGTTTGTCTTTCTCAATCAGTAAGCTGCAAATTTAGCCTCTGGAATTAATTATTTTTCTTCCTTGTATTTCCATCCCACAGTAATGCATCTTGCACCACCAACTGCCTTGCCCCTGTGGCTAAAGTGTTGAATGACAAATTTGGAATAGAAGAAGGACTTATGACAACTATCCATGCTGTTACTGCCACACAGAAGACTGTGGATGGTCCAAGTGGCAAGGTAATGCCATCTCTTTTAATTCAGGGTTGTGACAAGGGGGTGTTTTGAGTTCAACCGGCTGAGAAACACCTAGCATGCAAGTAGGGCCCTAATCAGTAACGCTGCAGGGTGCATGCTTCTCTCCCTGCTGAAATATTCGAGGGAGAGGTTTGCAGGGGGTCTGGCCCTTGTAAACAGTGCTACACCTCTTTCAGGTTAGAGCATTCCTCAAGTACTTGATTGTGGGTGAAAAGACACTTGTGCCGCAGCACTTGTAACAAGTGTGTACTCACACACCTAAGAAATGCCCCTCTTCTGTCAAAATTACAGTGACCTCAAGAACAAGAACATAATATGGTCTGGACTATTTTAAAGAAAACATTTACATATTCACAACACTCTTTGCTGTGATTAAATAATTGGGGCATCTAAGTCACCAGGTTAGTGACCTAAGTTTGGCATATGTGCTGCATTGGTGTGCATATTCTCCCTACCATTCCCCATGCATTTCCTGTGGTACTTGTAAGGAGAATTGGACTAACAATCAAGAGTTTCTTGAGTTTGTGATCAATACTTTTATTGCCAAGACCATGTTTGATTCAAGG